AACCTTTGTGTTTTCATTCTCTATCGCATTGATCATTAGAAATAAAAAATGAATCAGTAGAACACCCTGTGATTTCTACGCAGAAGACCGTTTCAAAAATCAAATTGGTACTAGCTTTCAATATGAACACACTTTGAAAATATAATATGCCAAGGTGCCAAATTTACAAGTGGTAAGTCTCGCCCCCTATGAAGTATAAATATTTCAAAAAAACATATTGTATTGGTCCGGATATGTATTGGGTGTTAATATTTTGCATGGTACCAGATGTACCAAATACTTACTCTAATTAATGTTAAAATTTAACCCATAGAATGATCAATCAATGGGTAGGAAAGACTATTAAGTAAAATATCCAAAGAAAATGTTATACAAATTAACAAATTTTATAAAATTTTCTTACTAATTATGCATGCCTTCTCAATAATATGACATGGGTTGTTACTAATATATACATCATATCTATCATCTATATGGAGTGTGAGTTATCCGCGGCCCCTCTTTCTACTCACTCTCTCTAACTCTATGTCATTAGAGAACATTATCATTAGAGAACAATAGAAGTTTTTGTGCACTATAGTGCCACTCCATCACTTGAAAGTTTTTGTTCATGATTTAGAAACACATGATGTATCAATGAGATCCTTAATTTCAAATTCAATACAAGAAAGGCATGCCCAAATTTGTTATTTATTTTACAACGCTCATTAGCCAAAATAAATTGTTTGTTTGTTGTTTTAATAGAAAAGAAATAAAAAAAAGATAATTACAAGGACAATTACGGGACATTTATCATGGTTTATGAAATTTCAATATATCTCTTGTTGTTTTGCTCAAAAAAATATATTTCTTATTTTTTTCAGGACAACAAAAATTCCTCTCATAATTATCAAAAACATAAAATAAAAGGTCGGTATAATTATTCATAAAAGAATATATTACTTCCTAATTGTCAAAAACATAAATATAAAAGTAGGCATATATCAAATATTTGTACACATAGACATTGATCCAGATACTAATCATTGAATAATATATTATAATAAAAGAATTATGGTATCCACAGACTTACATAATAAATATTTAGGATCATACGTGGTTGATGCTGCCTGAGTCATCAGTGGAAAGGACAAGAGCCGCCTCTCAAATCCATCCGAGAGTGAATGCATGCAATCTTCTTCAAGCTACGGACATATACATAATTTATTACACATGCATACATAAAAAACATATATATATATATATATATACATTTTTCATGATCTAAGCAACGTACCCATATGGATACGTTTGCTATTCTAATAGATAGTTCTTGAGCTTCTGTGTTGATCAAATCAAATATTGTGACGCCAACATGGATCAAATGTGTCAAATTCTCATAGTAATTTCCTCGAAATCATGAAGAGACAAGGGACCCCCCCAGCCGGTATCATCATCTCCTTTGCGTCACTTGCAATGTCACCCAAGTTTTCTGGGTTCTGTTTGGTGAACCTACAATTAATTCAGCATCATCAAGTCTTTATACTTCATCATCATCCCCTCCAAAACATTCTGGTTTTCGATCTCTCTGTTTCATTTGATCATGTTTGTTGCAACTCTTGGCAAGCCTAGCTATTAATCTAAAATCATAAGCTAAAAACATGTTACACCAAACAGTACCTGCACTCGCAAGGGACCCTTATGTTACGCCAAACAGTACCGGTAAAATAAATAAACAAACATCCTCGTAGGCTGCAAAAAAATAATTATTCTGTTTTTTTTTTTTTTTTTTTGGATCATATAAATTTAAAAATTTTCATTAGAATTTTGAAGGGGTCAATGTATTACACACATTTGAACTTTCCATGAAAGTTCCTATAGAAAGAAGAGTTTGTTGAAAGGCCATTTCTCTAGTGTGGCATCATCCCCAAGACTATGGAACTTAAAATATGATCGACCGTGACCAAAACTTTGGACTTCCATCACATGTGTATGACAAAATATAAAATTAATTATATGTATTAGTTTTTCCTCCTTGCCAATAATTGCCAACAAACAATGCAGCAAACATAAGTTAATAAATAAAAAAATAGAGAATTGTCGGCCACACTAGACTTGGGAAAATGCTTCAACGGAGATAGAATTATAGAATGGTATGTCGTTGATCATTATTTATATTTCTCTGTACTAACTACAACGCAAAATGATCAACAGGTTAGTTCTAATTGTTAGCTGCTATTTTCGGTATATTGTTTTCTAATGAATTGGTACTAATTTTGAAAATATAATTTTCTTATTTGTTTTGTCTGGACTTTACAATATGATTAGCTGTGAGAATGGAGCCAACATAGTTGGGATGGCTCTCTTTCAGCAATGATGCAAATCTTGGCTTTTTGCTCTGTTTCTTCATGTACCCTATCTCTTTTCATTCAATAAAAACTTTCCTTTGCCCATCAAATAAATTATTTAAAAAAAATTTTTATTTACAAGTGATAACTTTGGTCCCCTAACTAATATTCGGAAACTTTCACTAGAGTTCATGGGAAGACAATAAATCTTTCAGTACTATTATTTTGACATAAATAAAGACCATTCCTTCATTAATTAATCAACACCAAAATAAAGACTAATACATATTCTTATATTAACAAAGAAATTTGTTATCAAAACACAAATTTAATGAGCTCCACATCACTTAAAAAAAAGAAAAATCATAACAAGTTGGTGACAATTTTTTTTGTTGTTTTGACGAGACTTTCTCCTATTATATATAGCATATGAATTTCTCACAAAATAGAACCTACTAGCAATATTCCATTTATTTCAAAATATAGCGGCACGCATTGATGTGTGTGTGTGTGTGTATATAATTGGCAAAAGCAGATATTGAAAAAGATATCAATCATTGAAGAGTAGATTTTATATTTATTGCAATTAATTAATATCAGCAGAGCAGACTAATATATATATGTAAAATAATAATAGTTTCGGACGATTATGATACCTGCACCGTCAATGGAAAGGACAAAAATATAGAGATGGCGCTCTGTAAGTAAGAGCCACCCGCCTCTCAGATTCAGATCCTCCCAGTAATTGCATGCATCCAATCTTCTTCAACGTATTCACAGACACATACATATATTATATATTTACATAATTAATTTATATATATATAATATTGAAACAATTACAATGCAGTGGTATCAGTACAAATTAATGAAAAATTTATAATTTTAATTAGTCATATTTATAATATTTCTCACTTTTTAGTAATTATTTTTCCTAACTTCAGTGTCAGGTTATTCCCCTTGTAATATTTTCATGATCTCAGCACATATCCACATGGAGACGTATACAATTCTTACATATATAGGTATATATATGGTTTGGTTTGAAAAGTTAATTATTTTAGTTAATTTTTTGAGTTTTTAACCTGTTTAAAAAAATTAAGTTTAGAAATATAGTTAATTTTCTTTGTAATTGATTTGATGATTGTGAAAAAAAAAATATATAAATTAAATATAATATTTTATTTTATTAACTACTTTAACATATTTTATATTTATTTATTATTTTAACTCAAGTAACTCCTTCCAAACAGGGCGACTAAGGGCGAGTAACATGGATCAAATGGGTTGGTTTACAGAGTATTTTCCTGGAAAATCATGAAGGCACCCGTCTTGGAGCTTGGAGTTTCAGTTGCTCTGTCACCCATGTTTCTGAGTTCTGTTTGGTGAATTCTTTTGCAATACTATCTGATCAGTACGACGAGCACCCAAAAAAGCATGGGTTATGTAACTTTGAATCATATTGGTCGAAGTTAGAAATTTTAAAGATTACACAGATTAAATTGATAATTTAATGATGCAATTGAAAAAATGACAATAATTAAAAGAATAAAAGTGAAATTAATTCAAAAAGTATATCAGTATCTACTTTAGATTGAATTTACATCATAAATTTCTTTTCCCAAGTACTTTGGTGAGGATATATATATATATATATTTTTTTTTTCTGAGCTAGTTGTTGAGGTTCCTTTTTGGAAGTAGTTTTTTGACTTTTTAATTAAAATATGAGGTGAAAAAAATAATTTTAATTTTTTACAAAAAAAAAAATGTATAAAAGTAGTGTGAATAAAAAAAAAAATGACTTTATAGAGTTCATGAGAATGAATCTTTAGTAGTGTGAATAAAAAAAAAATGATTATATAAAGTTCATGAGAATGAATGTTTAATTATTTTTATTTTTATTTTTCGTATATATTGATTTATTTAGTGATTTTTTTACGTTTGACTTTTTTTTACAAAAAAAAAAACGTATAAAAGTAGTGTGAATTAAAAAAATTGACTTTTTAGAGTCAATGAGAATGAATCTTTTGATTTTTTTTTTTTTTTGTATATATTATTTTGTTTCTTGATTTTTTGATTTATTTAATAATTTTTTACTTTTTAATTAAAATAATCACTTACCAAATGAAACCTGAGTTATACAGCATTTTTTAATGTTGAATATCAAAAATAAGACATGGAAACCACCACAAGTGATAATGGCCTTAAAGTTTGGATTAAGGTTCTTAAAAGGGTTCTATCCATTATTAATTTGTTTATTGGAACCATCATTTTGTGGGACTTTGATTTCATATTGTCGGGAAAATATTTTTGAGAGAATATATAAAAAGTGAAAAGTTAAAGAAAAAAATAATTTTAAACTCACAAAAGTATTAGTGATTATTTATGCATTAAATTTATAAAAGTAAATCTTATATTTCCATCACAATTGATTGTTTACAAGTAACTCAATTCAACCCATGTCCACTAGTAATTGAAGATGTTAAAAAAAAAAAACTTTATTTATCAACAACTACAATTGTGATTGAAGATCACACAGCTTTGTACTTTTGTACAACTTGTGGTGGTGATTGAAGATCAGACAACTTTGTACATTTTGCTTTTTACAGCTTCATACATTAATACAAGCATTTGAAAGAAAATAATTTTACGAACACTTTGCACAAACGTTGATCAGGACGGTAAAAGAACCCCAGTTTTTTTGGCAATCCATCCCAGAGGCAAAGATAATGCTGCAATTCCAAAACATATACACCATTGTATCAAATCCAATCTCTCCCAATGAATCACAACCACCATATAAATCTCCATCACAGCAATCTGCAGAACAACGACGGCACCAGCAAGAAACCAGCAATTCTTATGCTTCGTCATCCCCTTGAAAACATTCGGTTTTTTGATCTCTCTGGCATTGATCAACACAAAAACCTGGCAGAGTAGATAACAGTTGAAGATCATAGGTTTTAACTTAGTATTCAGAAGTGCTTTTCCCTTGAAGTACAGGACCAATAGAACAGTGATTTGATAAAGAGTTTGAACAACTATGTTTCTCCACACTGTCATGGTTATGTCTTGATCTTCAGCTTCTCTTTGAAGGGTCTGAGATGGTAATAGTGGCTCTGCAAGAGCCAAGGCACCAAGGATGTCCATAACCAAGTTAACCCACATGAGCTGAAAAGGTCCAATTGGCTCATCATCACTTATACAAACTACAACAATGAAGTTTATAATGAAGGCAACAATGTTGAGAGTCAGCTGCAATTGCACAAACTTTCGAAGATTGTTGCAAACACACCTTCCAAACTTGATGATTGAAAAGATTGTAACAAAACTCCGATCTAGGATGACGATGTCTGAGGACTCCTTGGCTAATTCTGCAGCGTTATCACCCACTGCAAGGCCTACATCAGCAGCTTCTAGCGATGGAGAGTCCCTTGTGGAGATTCCAGTGGCAGCTACTACTTCACCTTTCTGTTTCAGGCACTGCAATAGTAAAAGCTTGTCAGCTGGAGATGAGTTAGCCATGACTACGATATGATCTATCATGTTCATGCGGTCTTCCTCAGAGCTATGCCGAAATTGGGAAGCTTCAATTACTGTTCCATTCATTTCTTTTTCATGATCATGTTCATGCTTAAGAATTCCAGAATTGATGGCTATAAACTTTGCTGTGTTTATGTTTTCGCCGACTACTAGCTTGATCGCTACACCGGATTCTTGGCACTCTTTGACTGCTCTTCTCACCTCTGGTGCATATGGGTTCTTGAAGCTCACCATTCCCAACAAAGTTAAGCCATGTTCTTTTATACCTTCAATGGCCTCTTCTTCTTCATCTTCTTTTTCTTCTTCGTCTTCAAGTTCTAAATCTTTCTCTTTCTCTTCCTTGACAACTTTTTTGTAAGCGAAAGCAAAGCACTGGAGACTATCAGAAGCAAATCTTTCGATTATTTTGTTGAACAAAGCTCTTTTCTGTTCATCTAGGGTTTGCTTTGTTCCAAATGCATCATAATAATGCGAGCACATGGACAGCACCACTTCCGGACCACCTTTCCAGTGTACATGCACAACTTTGCCCTCCTCTCCATTCCGCCTCAATGATAACCCGCTTCGATTCTTCTCCACATCAAAAGCTTCAGTACAAAGAACGGTTCGACTTCGATTCAATTCTTCAATGTCCACACCAAGCACTTGCTTCGCCCAAATAAGAAGACCATGCTCTCCCTGGCCACCACCACCAGACAAGTTCATCCCGAGACCTTCGCGCAAAATATCAATGACTTCTCCCATGAAAACTTCATTGATACTATCTAGACCGATCCACAACTCGGCCATCTTCGAATGCTGCAGAGTTAGATCACTCGTTTCGCCCGTGCAGACTGTGGTGACCAACCCAATTTTAGCACACGCTGGAAGTTTTCGGACCAGAGCTTGATAAGGCAACATTTTCTTAGTTGCATATTTGAAAGAGATGAAGATTCCCAGAGGCAATCCATCTCTTATTGAAAATAACAATATACAAAGCATAGCAACCAACCCATTAGCCTTTGCGCCTTCCTTCTTCTTCATAAGCTTGGTGGCCTCATTCATTATCTCCGCCACCGTGTTCTTCACACCTTTCGGGTCAGGATTGTGATTCTGATCACACCCTGGTCTCCCTGTAAAACACCTCAGTAATTGCACCAAAAGAACAAGCAGTGAGAGGCTCAACCAAACCTTTTCCAAACGAGAGTTCGTTTTGTCGATTGAGATTTGCAATTTTGATTCCTCATGAGCTTGATGGAAGCTCCTTATTGATCTCATCAACTTGCTTTTCTCTGTGTTCTTGCCTACTGATGTCACAAGAACCCGACACTGACCTCCCATGACCTTCGCACCAGTGAACATAGGACTGTGATGATCATGGACTAAGTCATCGTCAAGATTGAATGAATCGCCACCATCGATCAACAACCCATCAGCAGAAACACGATCACCGGTCTTTAGACGTAGAATATCACCGACGACAATTTCGGAGGCAGATATCTGTTGAGTCTTCGAATTTCGCATAACCACAACTTCAACTTTTCTGTCCCTTGCCAGCTTTCTCATCCTTTTAGCCTTGAAAAATCTACAAATGCAACCAACATTGACAACTATGAATATAGCAAGAAATATAATAGCTCCATCGCGAAATCCTTCTTGCAATCCATTTCTCTTGATCCCAATCGCAAGAGAAAGCATCGCGCAACACAACAGGAGGATAACCGTGGTGTTCTTGAATGCTTCCAACAAGATTTGGTAGAAGCCTTTGGCCACAAGAGAAGATTGATCTTCAAAATTTAGGTTTGGACCGAATGCTCTGTGTCTCCGGTGAAGATCTCTGACATCACCGGATATTCCAGCATCGATATTAGTCTCTAATGCAGCAGCAATTCCATGGATGTCATTGGCATGAACTAGTTCTGATAGTCTTTCTTGGGCTATTTTGAAGTTGGGGATACCTGCTTCATACTGCTCATCAATATTCCAAATGGGAATTGGAGGGAATAAAGTGGTGTTGATTTGATTCTCAGTGGGGCTATTTTCCATCTCTACAGGAGTTTGGGGTTGGCAAAATGTGAATTAAAGTTTTGTCACTTTTCAAGATTGAGTCACATGTTTATATAAAGGAGAGTTGAGTTGGGTTGAATAAGAAAATAATATCCTCTGTTATTATTCACAGAATAGAAATATGTGAAACAGAAGGAATAGAAATGGGAATAGGTTTCAATAGAAAAAGAGACGTATTTGCATGGAAAACAACCACCCCTTTTCTCAAACTTTCTCCATGTATATATATATTTGCATTGATTTTTTACATTTGCATTGATTTTTTTTTTTTCCCAAAGTAATAGTGATGTTGAAATGGGTCCACAGGATAGGGGACCATGCAATGCGGCACTGAAAGAATCTTTAATGGAGATGGAAAATGCATGTGAATGACAGGGGAAGTTTACTAGTGATTTCATTATTATTATTGGTGGAAAGTAGGGGTGATGGTGAAGAATAATCGCATCTATTCCTTAGGGTCATTTGGGAACATTTCAAAAAAAGTGAGAAGGTAATTTTTAATTTATTTTAAGTTATATTATTTTTTATATATAAAGTTAAAAAGAATTAAAAATTAATTTTTAACCGTCTTTCTAAAATACTCCTTAGTAGGAAAATATATTTATGAATATTGTTATTTAAATTTAAAAATTAAATTTATTTTTTAAATTTAATAATATAATAATTTAAATATTTAAAGTAATATTTTTTAATTTTTTTAATTATCAATTAATTATATTATTTATATATTATTAAATTTAAAAAATAAACCTATAAAATAAGTTTATATATCATTTTTCTGTACCTATTTATACTTCGCCCCAGTTTGGCAATTGTTTTGGGACTACGGTAGACACATATGGACAAAAGCGGCTACAAAATCACAAATTGCCAAAACACTATCACGTGAGTTGGAATGCAAAATTATCAAATTACCCTATATATACCAATACACAATTGTATACGCAAACTAGGGTTCCATTTTCTTCACAGACCAAGCAAATGGCGAAAAAAAAGAACGGAAGAGGGGGAGAAGACTGCACGGACCACCGATCTAGGCCAACATCGCTTCCTTAACGCCTCGACCATCCTCTACTCGTAATATTGTTCTTTGTTTGCATCTCTGGTATGCATAACTAGATTTATTTTTGGGTTTTCCTCTCCTTGCACCAGATCGTACTTGTTTGTTGTGTGTATGTTCAAAATCCGTTGTTGTTGTGTTGGATCAGTTGTAATATGCTTTTGTTGGTGTCAATGGAGGTTTAAATCCAAAATATTGTCACAGTTTGAACTCCTTTGTATGTATTACCAGCAACTACATTGTCGAACACGATGTTCGAAAATAAAGAACCAATTTCCCCACAGAAACCTTTTGTTTGTTAGAAATGGTTTTGGAAAATCAGATTTTTTCTAAACTTTGGTTTATTTTTTAGGTGGGACCCATGCGCCAAATTTGGCGGGTTTAAGTGGTAACGCGTTCTATGTCACATTGTGATTTACGTAGTATATTTGGTTGCTCAAAACCATTATCGGGTGAATGGAAAATTGAAGCCAAAGTGAACTGTATGGAAATGGAGTTTTGGTGAAAATTCCTTAAAGGTTTAAATTAAGACTTGTTCCACATTGGTTTGGTAGGCAAATTTTTATGGGTTTATAAGGCATGGACTTGCAACTTGGGGAGGGCCCCAAGGGGTACCCAAGTTTTGTAGAAGGGTGAAGTTATGGGCAAAGTTGATTAGATCTATTGGACCTAAAATAAACACACAGGGACGCGCTGCCGTCAGGTACATGGTTGGGTTGGGCTTGTCCAGCCTAATACTTATATTTTTATTTGAATTTAATTTTATTGTTTGGTAAAATAAAATCTGTCCAATTTAATTTCAAATTTTGGTTGGAAAAATTCAAAATTGTTTGCACCTCTTCAATACTTCTGTCCAGGTTTCATATCTGTCCGCACAGATTTGAATCTGTTTGAGTTTAAACCCAACAGGTTCCTATCTATTCTAAAACCAAACAGATTCAGCAAAGGTTTGATTCAAAACCAAACAGGTTTTGTACATGTTTATTCAAATCTAAACAGCCACGAATTCATCTATAAATAAGACAGGCCCTAATTTGGATTTTTCATTCACAAATTTTGTTCTTCTCTGCTACTTCAATCTCTGCATTTTACTGCATTAATTTTCTGTGAGAAAGAGTGATGTAAACACAAAATGTGTTCGTTGTACGAATAATTTTTAGTGCTGCTATTATTCACAGTTGATCATTTTATCTTAGAAGATAGACATCCACAATCTAAAAGCACTATGGAGAGGATGAATCTGTCTTAAGAACACAGTGTTAAACACTAGACTTGATCAGAATTTTGTTCAATAAATACATAAGGTTAGTAATTAATTTACTTTCTGGTTTATTTATTTATTTTTATCAGATTCTGATTTTGGTTGTGTAACAAAATAAGAATCTATTGTTTTATTTTATTTTCTTTAATGGTTTGATTTTTGTAATCAAACTGTTTCTCTCTTTCTTTATTTATTCTGTTTGTTGTTAAGTACACAAACATTTTATTCTTAATACAGTTAAGATTGTCAGACAATCTTAAGACAAATCATTTTTTGGTGTCTTCATTGTATTTATTTTCTGTGCTTTTTACAAAGTGATATTCTGGTTGAAAAATATAAATAGTAGTCATATACTGCTTGACAAATAGTAGTAATATACTGTTTATTTTCTTTGACGACTAGTAGTAATATACTGGTGTTGTAGACACCCCATTTTTGACCGACCATAAGACTCAGACGTCACCAGTTGAGCACTCGGTGATGTTGCATATTGTGCTCGTTCTGAGGTTTCAGAGTCTCGGCTGCGAGCCTTGCCACTAGACTTCGGGGCTCTTTTGTGCTTTGCCTCGGTTTGCGAACCAGGTCCTGTTCTCGCTGTTTTCTCTTCCCGAAGGGATGGAGAGGTCCCGTAGACCATCTCTCAGTGGCCGTAGGCTACGTTTCGTGGTCGTAGGCCATTTTTCCCGTTCGGAGGCCAGTTTTTGATTTTTGGAGCTGTCGGCCGTGCGCCTCGGTTCGGGACCGCTTAATTACTTCTGTTTGCTCCAGTTTTTGGCACACACCTTATTTCATCCCTTTAGAGGGACACTGTGGACCGGGAGACCACCTTCGTGGTCATACGCCACTTCCGGTGCCTGACAGCCTGTTTTCGAGGCCCCAAACTGTGCGTTTTGGCCCCCGAACCCTCGTTTTGCATCCGTCTTGGTCCATTTTTGGTAGGGACCGTATTTTCATTGTTAGGGAGGTGGTAGTATGGTGGAAGGCCACCTTTTCCCTTGAAAAACCAGTTTTCTCTTTTTCTCTCTTCAAAAGTCGATTTTTTTGACAGAAAGCTGGTTTTTCTCACTTTTGAGCCACAATTTCTGGCTTTTCATACCACCATTGTGTTGTGCTCATCTGGGAGGCCACCAATATGGGTAGGCCGACCAGTAATTCATCTTGACCCTTTTGAACCTTGCTAAAAAGCTGGTTTTTCTCTCTCATGGGTCACTTTTTTTCTGGTTTTTCACTATACAACTATGTTGTACTCATCTGGGAGGCCACGTTTTTGGGGTGGCCTGCCAGAAATTCTTCTTGAACCTTTTGACCCCTGGTCGGCCGACCAGGGGGAGTGGCCGGCCGGCCACTTGAACTGGCCGGCCTGCTTCTTGCTTTTTGCCCTCTCTGAATGCATCACAATTGTGCCAGCTGTGAGGCAATTGGACCATCCTCCATACACGTGTATGGAGGATATGTGAAGCTCTTTTGGGATATTTTAGAGCCTCTCCTCTATAAAGGGGAGGCTGATCTTCTTGGGCAATGGTTGAACACCTTTGAAGGCTTACAACTCTTTCTCTCTCTATATCTCTACACTTGAGCCTCCAAACCCTAGTTTTCTTGGGCCATTTGCACTACAACCCTTAGCACCACACCTCCTCCATCCATTCCAGCACTTTGGGATTGATTTTCAAGGGTTGAAGGTTCACCAACTTGGTCCAAAAGCTCCAGTTTTGCTGCTCTTCAAGGGTAAGCACCTATTTCCCTTAAACTTGTATTTTTTTGCTCCATTGATTAGCTTTACTTGTAAGTATTTTTGGACTTTGTCATAAACTAAAAAGTGTCATATTTTGTGCTCCTCTTGAATATTGATTAAGGACACTTTTCTGTTTGAGGTCTCCTACATCCTTGTATGCTTTGTCCCTCTTTGTAGGCTTATTTTGCATCATATCTTAGCCCTACTTGTGAGCATTTTCGAGATTTGTCATAAACTTGAAAAAGTTTTATTTTGAGCTTATAAACATGTTTGTTTAAGATACTTTCTCTGTTTGGGGTCATCTACCCCCTTTCATGCCTTATTTTCTCATGTTTTGAGCTATGCACGTGAGCACTTACATTGGCCTTGATTTGGCCTTTTAGCCACTGAAATCCAGCGGATTTTCAGTGGCTTAGATGTGACTTTGAGCTTCAAAATCATAGAGGGGTGACCCTCTCACCCCTCATTCTCTTTACTAGCTTTGTTGGCCTCCCAAAGGAACCCTCACTTGCATGTTGTGAAGTCACTTTTTGGGCTCAATTTGGTGAGTTTCAAGGTCTGCCTTAGTTCTTTTCAGAGCCTCTTTGGTCTTATTTTGTGTCCGTAATGCATGTGTAGAACAATTCCATTCAAGACCTTTTGAGAGGGCCTTTCATTGTATGCTTCATTGACCCATTTCAGGGCCAATTTGGTGAGTTTTAGGCTTGTTATATTTGATTTCTAGAGTTGGTTTTGCCATGCTAAGTGTCCTTGTTGTATGTGTTGAGTAACCCCTTGCATGGCCCTCCAAAGAAGCTCATCATTTTTCCATGCATTGGATGCATTTCAGTGGTTATTTGGGGTTTATTTGGCATGAAATACTTTTATTTTTGGCTGGTTGGGTGACCCCTCATATGCTTCATATAGCTGTAGAACAACTCATGGTT